GGCCTTAAAGTTTGGCCTGGGCTAGCTTTATCTTCAAGTTTTCTCCAAGTTTGTCCATGAATTCAAATGTATTCAAGTAGTCAGAACGTTGCACGCTAACAAGGGAGGAAAAACAGGAGAAAATTTAGTTTGTCTCTGATATGGCAGCAGATAGAAGAAAAGTCCTAGAAATGCTACTTAAAAGTAGTATTCTATTTATTTCTGGAGGAAAATCCATTAATGTTAATAAGTTATGAATCTATAATGACTATTCTCAAGACTTCTGGCTTGGGACTCGTAAGTCCAGGCTCATACACCCACATTCACAGGTTTGTTATCATGGAGCTTTGAAGGTGAAACTATTAAACTATCACATAGTGCAGTTCAGACTAAAATGCCGATAAGCTCAAACCATTCCACATCCGCTGTCCCACTCTTAAAAAAAACTCGTTCGGGGTATAGTCAAACCTTTACCCATTTTTCTCCAAACTGTTATATGTCCTTACAAAAAGTTATAATGCTCTTACACAAGAAATGTAAGATGATGGACTGACTTTTATAAAACTGCTGATAGAAGTCTATCAAATAGCCTACAAAGCAAACAAAAAATGTTCTCATTGCTAAGAACATTTCAAATGTTGTATTCTTGCCAGAAATTCAAGAAAACATGTGGTGATTGAGTACGCCACCATTCCTAGGGTGTAGTGACCCTAACCAAGATCTCTGGGGACACACCAGTTAGGACATGGAATTAGTGTCAAATTTTGATAGCATTTCTTGAGGTGGGTGGTAGTAACTAACTCTGACTTGAGGGAGGAGTCTCTGATTAGCAGCTAATCCAATCAGAATTTTCTGGGTTGCTCTCAGAAAAGCCCTGGGCAACACAAGGGTCCTCAGATGTATGCCTGGGGTTACAGACACTTAAGAAATTATAATAAATTGGATATTTTATATTTGTGCTGCTTGCATTTCTCATCTATAAGCTAAAGAAAATAAAGGAGTAGAATGAAGTGGCCTCCAAGGTCCCTTCATTTCTAATTGCCTATAATTTTCTTCTTAAATAGAACCTTGTCATTTGATGATTGTCAACTACATCAGAGCCCAGCAAACTGTAGCCTGCTGATGGGCCAAATCTGGACCACACCCTGGTTTTGAACACAAGATTTGACTGGAATTCTGCTATGTCCATTTCTTTATGGATTGTCTATGACAGATTTCCTACTACAACAGCTGAGGCAGAGTTGAACAGTTGTATAGTTGCAAAAAGACTATGTATCCCACAAGACCTAATGTTCACTATCTGACAGCTTACAGGTAATACCCACTGACCCCTGGACTAAATAATGAGTAAATTCATATAATTCCAAAAAGCACTGATGGTTTGAGCCCAGCAAGGGTAAGTGGTCATTTGACCCAGTTTAGGGCCTCTTATACTTACTTAGGTAAACCTTTAATGCAAATAGCCAAGTCCTTGGTCATGAAGCCAGCCTCAATGGTCTCAATACAGACTTCTTCCAAAGCCTTTGCAAAGAGGTCAAGTTCTTTATTGTTATCAAGCTTTGCTCTGTGGGCTAATCCTCTGGTCCAGGCAAAAATGGAAGCTAAAAGCAGAAAATAATGACACTCTAATCATCCCAGTTATAGGATCCCCAAACGTGTTACAATTCCCCAAAGCAAAATAGCTTACTGTTTAGGTGACAGACTTCATCATCCAGATGGGATAGAAGGTTTAGGAGAGCTGGAATATTTTACCCAACAGAAACTTTAATAGAAAGTACATTTTAATGGTGTGCTACTCGTGTATGCAGTTTAAGGCATTTACTAATGCAAGAAAGGCCACAGTCTATCTTTTGTCTCTATTGGTCTCCTCTTCCCAGGCTGTAATCTTCTGTCCTTGAAACCCTGCTGGAAGGACCTATCCAAGTGACTTTTAGATTTGTAGCCTTATGTGGCATTTCACTGCACCAGAAGTAACAGAAAATGCTTGTAGATAACATTCTTCTTTGTAACCTATGCTCTCCCACAAAACAGAAACACAGTGTTTAAGACACATAATAAAACAGCTCTTAGTAGTAAAACAAATCAGCCACTTGGTGATGACTTTGCACACAGTTAACACTGAGTTTCTTTAGAGATCTCCTTTGGAGAGCACTTTCTGATCAGAAATCAAGGTAGAAGTAAACGCCATCTTACCAATGGGATTAGTGGATGTCTCCTGTCCTTTCTGGTACATGCGGTAGTGACGGGTTACGGTCCCATGGGCTGCCTCTGCTTCTACTGTTTTGCCATCTGGACAAACCAGCACACTGGTCATCATGCCAAGAGAGCCATAACCTATATGTGGCAGAGAATGAAGCATTGGGTTCAACTGCAGGAAGTGCACTGGGTCCCTCAGGGATGAGAGCAAATGACTCAGTCCTGATGGGTCCTGGTAAACAAAGTATGTGGAACACATGGAATCATCAATAATTCTTCTGCCTTTCAGAAAACAGGGTCCCTAACTCCTGATCTCAAAGGACCTGGAAAGGCTTACATCTTCCTTGCTTATCTCTGTGATGGAGGGCTCAGGGTCCCACTGCCTGCATTTGCCCCAGTGCTGTGACTTCATTAGCTAAGGTGGCTCAGTTTTCTTACCTTTAAAATGAGAATAAAAGCACCTACTTCACTGGGTTGTCATAGAATTAGATGAATTAGTTGTCATAAAATTAGAATTAGTGGCCTCTGAGGTCCCTTTGTTTCTAATTCCCTATAATTTTCTTCTTAAATAGAACCTTGTCATTCGATGATTGTCAACTACATTAGAGGCCAGCAAACTGTAGCCTGCTTGCTGATGGGCCAAATCTGGACCGCACCCTGGTTTTGAACACAAGATTTGACTGGGATGCTGCCATGTCCATTCCTTTCTGGATTATCTAAGACAGCTTTCCTGCTACAACAGCTGAGGCAGAGTTGTACAGTTGTATAGAATAGATGAACAGACATATATTCATCAATATATATGAAAAGAATATATTCATATTCCTTAACACAATACTGGCCACAGACTGAGAGCTCAATTTGTTATTGTTAGTATGCAGATGCTTTTCTGTGCCAGGGAAATAAAGATGAATGAGAGCTGTCTCCTACTCTCAAGCTGTTCATAAACACGTATTCTCTGGGACTGGGAAGAAAGGTAGGTAAGGCTGGGCATTATGGCTCGTGGCTATAATCCTAGCACTTTGGGAGGATGAGGCAGGAGGATTATTTGAAGCCAGCAGTTTAAGACCAGCCTGAGCAATGCAGTAAGATTATATCTCTACAAAAAATTTTTTTAAAAAATTAGTCATGCATGGTGGTGTGTGCCCGCAGCCTCAGCTACTTGGGGGTTGAGGCAGGAGGACTGCTTGAGTCCAATAGTTTTAGGAGGCAGTGAGTTATGATAATGCCATGGGATTCTACCTCAGGCAACAAAGTGAGCATCTCCAAACAAAAAAACAAACAAAAAGAAACAAGAGAAACAGGATGTGTTGGATTCATGAATATCCTACTTAGGTATGGGACTTTACCTAACAAACGCAAACTTTATAACCTAATTGTTTGTACCCTCACGTTAATCTGAAAGAAAAAAAAAAGAAACATCCTCCTTGCCCTTCCTTGTATCTCTTTAATACCCTCAACCAAACAATTCTCTCCTGTGGTTTCTTGTTCAGAGAACCACATTTAAGTCTATACAAGTAATTTTTTTTTTCTTTCATTCACTCTTTTATACTTGGAATTTTTCTCTTTTTATTTTTTTGAGACAGAGTCTCACTCTGTTTCTTAGGCTAGAGTGCTGTGAGCACAGTCTAGCTTACAGCAACCTCAAACTCTTGGGTTCAGCCCCCTGAGTGGTTAGGACTATAGGTGCCCACCACAATACCAGCTAATTTTTCTATTTTTAGTAGAGATGGGGTCTTGCTCTTGCTCAGGCTGGCCTTGGAACTCTGAGCTCAAGTGATCCTCCTGCGTTGGTCTCTCAGAGTGCTAGGATTACAGGCATTGAGTCACGGCACCTGGGCATAGAATAGGGTGACCAGACATCCTGCTTTTCAACAATTTGTCCCGTGTCCCGCGGCGTTTTAAAAAAGTCCCGATTTTTGGAAAGAATGCAGGAACGGGCAGGAGAACAGGAAAGGAATATACAGTTTTTGGCTGCCATGTGGCTATTTCGCCAGAATATGAGTTTTATATTATTTTTGTTAATTTTATATTAAACTGTAATAATAACAAATAATTGCTGGCTGAGAAGTGATTATTGAGAACTGCTTATCAAAAGTTTGCATTGTTGTCAGGCCCTGCCCCCCTCCCATGTTGTCCCGCCTTACCGATGTTAAAATCTGGTCACCCTAGCATAGAACCCTTTTCTCAATTTTTGCTACTTCCCAAGAGCACCTGAGAAGTTACTAATGTAAATTTACAATAGGCTGTGACCTTTTTGGTGGGGTGATGGGGGGTGGGAGGGTCTGAGACTTAAGTAGATTAACTATAATTTTTTAAAAAGTCATATTTGAGTACAATTAGCACAAATTTCTATGTGAGATTAGATTATTACAGTAGAACCTCTATAAATTGACCACCCAAGGGACCATAACAAACTGGTCAACAGGGGCAGCACCTGTGGCTCAAAGGAGTAGGGTGCCGATCCCATATACCGGAGGTGGCAGGTTCATACCCAGCCCCAGCCAAAAAACAAACAAACAAACAAAAAAACAAACTGGTCAACATATGGATGTGGTCGACCTAAGAAATTAGTGCTATTGTACTGATACATACGTGCGGTGCATGTCCAGTGTATGAAAATTAAGTCAACATAAGGAGATGGTCAACTATGGAGGTTCTACTATAGTTCCTTCCATGGAACCAACTGTGTTGGTCTAAAGCTCCAAATATTCAAATGTTATTTATTAACTAGGTAAGTTTAGGGCCACATCCATGCTGAGTTTGTCTATTAATATCTGGAGACACAAGCTGGTCCATTGCCACAACTGAGGACATAAATGAAATAGTGTTAAGTGCAAAGTAGTTCATGTGTCTACAGAAGAATGAATGAAAGGACAGCTCTGCTGCTTTGAGGTCACATTATCTACAGGCTCAGCACAGACACAGCCTTGGTTCCAGGTCTCTTCTCAGTGCACTATATTACAAGCTGTGCTTTAGAATTCTTATTTGAAAGTCCTTATTTGAACCTCCATAACTTGACATTTACATCTGCCATATTTCTCTTGACACTCTCTTCTTGTTGCCATGAGGATATTTAAAAATAATGAAATGACTTGGTCCCTTTCTCAAAACTCTGATTACAAGGAGTTGTTTTCCTTATCCACTACGGGGTCATTGCACAGGAGCATTCCTTCCTCTGTAGCATTCAGTACAAATGATTGTGAGGACTTAGGGAAAGAGAGTTCTGTAACTCACTTATCTGACATAAGTTTCCTTTCAAACTGATAGGGGATACTTAACATTCACAAGAGAAAGAAAAAGTAGAACTTCCTGGGGAAAAGCAAACACAATTAAAGTCAATGCAGACATTCCTCAGGAGAGATTCAGTTTGTAGATAACTGAAATGGAGACCGACTTGGCACTGAGGACATCAGGGAAAGGAGAGTCCTGTTGATTTGGTCCTTACCCCAGGCCTGGAACCCCTGGTTCCTGGAATTCTGTGTACAGCCTTGGGCTTCTTTGTTCAGCTTCTCTGTATTAAAACTATGCAGTAAACACATTTGTTTTATATAGTACCAGAACAGCCTTCAAGGCTGGCAGAGAAGCATGAGTAGGAACTGTTGCCAGGTGGAGGCAGTCCACTGACACCACCCCCTCCCATTAAGATAATTCAGGCCTCTCACTTAATCCCTCCTTGTGATACAGACTCCAGAGAGAGTTCTTCAGTTCTTTCCCCCTTTCAGAAGCTCTGGTGCTTTTTACTTCTTCTAATAAAAGTCCTATCTTATCACTGATCTGTGGTCTGTGGGTTCATTCTTCGAATCCCCGAGACCAAGGACCTACTGAAGAGCGAAATTCTGGTATCATTTGCCTGAGTGAGTGCCTGGATTTTTAGATTCTCACCAGGTGGAAAACTGGGATAGGGAAAGGGAGCAATTTTCAGATCAGAGAGGCTTTAAAAACCTTCGTGCTGTGTAGGGAGGGGAAGGTTGAAAGAAAAACTATGTTGCTTGAGCCCCATTCAGTTATTCAGTTACTTTTCCTGTGACCTTGAGTAAAGTCACTGCCCCAATTTGAGATTAATTTCCCTATCTGTCAGATGAGAGGGTGGGCCAGCATGCCTTGCGGGTAAAAGGTTCCTCTTTCCAAATTAGAGAACTATAGTGGAGTACAGAAGTTCCCAATTGCTCCAGCCCAAGCTCCACTTCTCTTTGGCCCTCTGCCTCCTTACCTTGGGCCACAGAGTCTGACTGCACGTCACCATCATAGTTTTTGCAGGCCCAGATGAAGCCTCCCTCTGATTTCATAGCTTGGGCCACCATGTCATCGATGAGCCTATGTTCATACCAGATCTTCTGGGCTTCAAATTGGGATTTGTACTGCCTAAGAAACAGCAAAGAAAAGAGGACAGTTAAAAAAAAAAGTATTTTGTTAGGGCTACATCTGTCTCTCCCAAAAGGGATGGGGGTGGTGATGGTGTTGGAGAAGAAAATAATATTTTTTAGTAGAAGCAGCATAAGCTTGGGAGTCTGACAGACACAGGCTAAAATCCCTGCTCAATCATTTTCTAGCTGTGAAATCCTGATTTAGCCATCTATAAAAGTGATTTTTTACCTTTCTTGTAGGGAAGGTGTAAGGAGTGAGGTGGTAGAGTACCCTGACTCCTACTATACTTTTTACTGTTGACAATATACTACTGATCAGATTCTGAAGATTTGCTTATTTTAGGGGTATAGTAAAGAAAAAAACAGATTATTCTACTGCTTGATATTATTCAGGAAACTAGATTTATTCCAGGATAGTTTTTAGGCTTAGTATAGGTGGATAGCAGAAAGAGAAATTCAAAATGCCTCAGCAACGATTTCTCATCTAAAATCCAAGCCCTGGTCTGAACACTTGCACTTAGAAGGGGGTTATTAGCATTTGATCCAGCAATTCCACTATTGGGTATTTACCCTATGGAAAAAAAGTCATTTTACCAGAAAGATAAGCATACTTGAATGTTTGTTGTGGCACAATTCACAATCTCAAAGATGTGGAACCAATTCCAGTGCCCATCAGTACATGAGTAGATTAATACCATGTGGTATATGTATAGCATGGGGTACTATTCAGCCATAAAAAAAGATTATGAACTAATACCTTTTGCAACAACCTGGATGGAACTGGAGACCATTCTTCTAAGTGAGGTTTTGCAAGAATGGAGAAACAAACACTCTAAGAACTCATTGTTAAAATAGTAATAATTGGTCAACACCCATGTGCATATTTGGTAGTAAAATTCAATGGAAAGCAAGCAGGTGGGAGGGGAATTGAGGGGTGGGGTGCATTCACATCTAATGAGTATAATATACATTCTCTGGGCTCGGCGCCTGTGGCTCAAGTGGCTAAGGCGCCAGCCACATACACCTAAGGTGGCAGGTTCGAATCCAGCCCGGACCCGCCAAACAACAAAGATGGCTGAAACCAAAAAACAGCCGGGCGTTGTGGTGGGTGCCTATGGTCCCAGCTACTTGGGAGGCAGAGGCAGGAGACTCGCTTAAGCCCAGGAGTTGGAGGTTGCTGTGAGCTGTGAAGCCACAGCACTCTACCCAAGGGGGATAGCTTGAGGCTCTGTCTCAAAAAAAAAAAAAAATACACTCTCTGGTTGAGGAGCACACTTTAAACTTTGACTCAAACTGCAGAAGCAATTTATGTAAAACATTTGTACCCCCATAATATCGTATTTTAAAATAAAAAATAAAAAGCAATATATAAGATAAAAAACCAAACCAAACTAAACCTGCAAGATATTTGAAAAGTGAGTCTGTGCTTGATTCACCTTTATATCTGTTCTGTGGTTGAGCTGCAATATGTAATAGGTATGCAGTGAACATTTGTTGAATGAATAAATGAATGTTAAGTGCTAAAAAAAAGGAGTTATATCATCTTGAATGTTAATATAGTCACTTCATGTGTTCTTGAATTCAAAGTTATAATAAGTTTAGACTTAAGTTCAAATGACTACACTAAGACAGAAGTTTAAATTATAACAATGAACTTCTGAGTGCATACACTTAAAAAATTAGACATTTCGATCACCAATAGGGTACTTTTTATTAAAACAATAATACTTATTTAAGAATACATTTATCTTCTGAAAGCATCTCAATATGATTTTGTCTCACTCCTCTTAAAACTCAGTTCTGCCCTTACCTTGAAGAGAGTGATAACTTTTCACTCAATTTGTCCCAGAATCAAAGGGAAAGGGAGATGCAACTTCTATTGGATAAACACAAGCTTACTTGAGAGAAAAGAAAAATGTCAAAAAGATCTGTACTTACTTGTCATATATCTCCTGAAAGATGTCTTTAAAACGTCCATCATATTTCTTCAGAATAGTATTTTTGGTGCTCAGATACAAAGGCCAACTCTTAGACAGAGCCATTTGGAAAGAACTGTGCGCAAAATCTTGGATTGATTTGTCTTGATTGTACATACCCATGGCAACACCACCACCATCTGTAGAGGGGAAGCCAAAGAGAGGGAAAAAAAGGAGAAAGGTAAATGGGGTTTAATTTAACAAGGTTACAGTCACCCACCACAACCACAGGACCTGATTTTCAGCTTCCATGTATGAGACCAGACTTCGGAAGTCCAAGGCAGGCCTCCAACCTGAGTATTGCATGAGTTCCCAAAGCATGTAATGGGAGAAAACTAAGTTCTGGGTATAGGTACTCTAATTTGTTTTGGAAGGGTAACATAAATGAGAAAAACATATGGATACTGAAACACCAGAAACTACTGATGTGAACAAGAGATAACACTCAAATATGAAAAAAATAATTTTGATACTTTCTTTCACATATTTTAATAATTCTTGAACACATATTATAAACTTTGGGGGTGTACTCAATCCTCAGTGACCGAGAAAAATTTGCATTTCAAACGCTGCATGAAGATTTTCATAATCTCCTGGAGGATACTGAGTGTTCTTAATGTAATTAGGTGTAACTGGTAGGAATAATTATGCTATGTGCAGTCACTGGTGGTTCACAGCTTTTACTTGATGAACTTTGTTATTACTGAGCGACAGAACTTGAAGCAATGCCAATGCCCTGGGTAAACTTGGGCTCCAAATGTGAAAAGCGCTGAAACCTGCAGAACTAGATCTATCAAATGACATGATTTGGAGGAGGCAAGGAAAACAAAAGCTAGAGTGGTGCTGGGCTTTTTGTTTGTGTGAGTGCTTTCAAAAACTTCAATAGTGGAGAAAAAGGTCCCAGTGGTCCTCTAAGCAATTTCTGGGTGAGATTTGCCATAGTATACCTTTGAAGCAGCAGTGTGGCTGGGAAAGAAAAGGAAAGAAGTGGCCAGGTGCAGTGGCTCACACCTGTAATCCTAGCACTCTGGGAGGTCCAGGTGGGTGGATTGCTGGTGTTCAGGAGTTTCATACCTTGTCTCTACTAAAAATAGAAAAACTAGGTGGACATTGTGATGTGCACCTGTAGTCCCAGCTACTTGGGAAGCTAGGGCAAGGGGATCTCTTGAACCTAAGAGTTGGAGGTTGTTGTGAGCTATTATGCCGCAGTACTCTACTCAGGACACAGAATGAGACTCTTGTTTCAAAAAAAAAAAAAAGAAAAAAAAGGGAAAGAAATATTCCACTTCCACAGAATACTCAGAAACACAAGAAGAAAATTTCAGCAAATAGGTAATGTAAGCATTTCCAAATACAAATTGTACCAGAGCAAAGGGCAGGATTACCTGACAGGTGATTTGAAGGCTATTAATGTTTAAGTTATATAATTCATGCAAGGACTCTTGAAAACCTTCTCTTTGTGTTTTAAGAAGATGACATAATTATCTCCTTGTCTTTGCTTACACGTGTTTCTAATTAAGTGGCTAACCAATGGAAAAACACCACATGTACTCAATATTAAAGTGGAACTAATAGCTCAACAGCACTGGACACATTTGGTAATAGAACTCAACAGAAAGCAGGCAGATGGGGCAGGTAGATTCACACCTGATGGGTACCAGTGCACACTATCTGGGCAAGGGGCACAGTTATAACTTTGACTTAAATTGTACAAATGCAATTCATGTAACCAAAATATCTGTACCCCCATGATATTCTGAAATAAAAGATAAAAATTAAAAATAAATTAAAAAAGTAGCTAACCCTTTTGTGCCTTTATCTGTGCCACAACAAGGTATGGGAGCCAATTTCCTTTTCAAGTCAGAACTGGGGTTCTACAGAAATACTAGAGATTCAGGCTGTATTTTTAGGCAGTCATACAACTAACCTTAAAAAAAAAAAATGTTACCTAAATCATTTGTTAAAAAAAAAAAAGATGTCACTTATAATGAACTCACACATACCTTCAAAGTTATGTACCAAGTATGTCACCTTTTGGGTTCCATCATTTGGTGTGTAGGTTATCTCTACTTTTCCAGGCCCAGGAACAACAAAATCGGTTGCTCTGTACTGTATAGGAGGGAAAGAGTATAAAGGAAATTATCCAACAGGAATTATAAGGAAAATAGTCACAATGTAGAGCTAGAAGACACTTAGACAAATAGGGCAGTGTGGCTCAATCTTCTTTTTTTGAAGAGATGAAGATGAAGAGGTACAGAGAGTTCCCCCAAATCAGTAAATATCAGGTGCCTATCATGTACAGGGCAGTTTTCTGAGTACTGATATATGTACATGGAGAACAGGGAATAGCATAAAGGTGCTTTCCCCTAGAAAGCTCATAACCCAATGAGGGCATATATTAATGAGAAGTAATATAAGAGCTTTTAAATGTTAGAAGGCATAGACTGAAAACGCGCTATAGGACAACAGAGGAAGAGGGATGATCACAGCCAGCAGGCCACAGGGGGATGATGATATAATACTAGTTGTAGTACTGAAGATGATGATGATAGAACTAATGCTTGTCCTTACTCTGTTCTAGATGCTAGCAGGGGTGTCCAAACTTTTTTCTTTTCTGCTGTTTCTTGGGCCACACATTTACCACACAAACACCAATGAAAGCTGATGAGCAAAAGAAAAGATCCATGCACACTTTTTGTGATATCTGACACCACAGACAAGCAAAGCAGTCCTTGAAATAATCTGTATGTGGCCTTCAGGACTGCAGGTTGGAGACCCCTGAGTGCTTAACTTGTATTATCTCATTTGATTCTCGCAACAATTTTGCAAGAAAGGACTGTGACGTAGTGTAAATAATGCATCCAGGATCAAAGGACTTGAGACCCAACTGTCTGGGCTCAGTCTCTCCATGCTATCATTGTTGCTAACACCATGCCCAGGATTTATCCTTGTGAAGCAATCGTTCTGAAAGCAGCCTCAACAGGATGATGAACCTTAGGAATGTGATGTTCAAGGTCAGCCACCTCCCTTTTGGGTCTTAGCTCCTCTAGTGGAAAAATGTGCCTGACAGTCACCAGTCTTTGCTGCACTGTACCTTCTTCAATGATTTGGATCAGAACACCCACAGTCACGTACCAGCCATATGGAGTTGTTTACATTAATACTATAATAGTAGGTAAAAGAGCAGTCAGATGACAGTGAAGATGGCATATTATACAGGACACTTCTGGCATATAAAGTCCTTCACTATGGGTGATCCTTTATTCCCATTTCTCAAAAAGGAGAAACTGAGGCATAAATGCTTTGTATAAGTCTATGTGCATTTAAACAGCCAGTGAATTGACCTGAGGTTTGGAATTTTTAATCTGGACATTAAAAATCATGGCCATTCCTCTAAATTACTGATGCTAAAATAATAAAAAACCAAAATGGGCCCCCCAAATAAACCCAAAAGGACACATACACACAGAAAGATGTGATATGAACAGTAAGAACTTAGGGTGACATTCTCAGGACTAGCAAGTTTGCACCACTACCATCTGTGTAGATTCCCTTGCTTGGGCTTTTGAAGGTTATCTGTGAAGGGACTGGCTGAGATGAAGGGATAGTTTTAGCCACAGGGTGGAACAGGATCTGCACCTTGCTTAATAGGCATAGACACCAAAAGAGGAATAAAACACATGTAAATCAGAACGTCAGGGCCATGACAAAACATGCCAAAATGACTTACTTGGTCCCCATAAGCGTGACGACCTATGATGATGGGTTTCACCCATCCACTCACAAGCCGGGGGATATTTTTGCAGATAATAGCTTCCCTGAAGACAGTGCCACCTAGAATATTTCGGATGGTGCCGTTCGGTGATTTCCACATTTGTTTCAACTTGAACTCCTCAACCCTCTTCTCATCGGGGGTGATAGTCGCACACTTGACCCCTACATTGTATTTTTTTATGGCCTCTGCAGCATCCTTGGTGACTTGGTCGCTGGTGGCATCACGATTCTCTATGCCTAAATCATAGCTTGGGAGGGAAAAATTAGAAACATAACTTTTCAGACAAATGGACAGGTGAGAACCTATGACCAAAGTGACGCATGCGGAGCATGCTGGGGACAACATTAAGGCTCTGAACACACCTAAATCTGCTAAGTTTTTGCATCAGTGCACCAGAAGCACAGAATATGGCGCCAACTGAAAAAGGAACTAATGCTGGACTGCTGGGCCACGCCTTCTGTGTTGTAGTGGGAAGCTATCAGGAAACTGAAAGGAAACCACCAATTCTGCCCTTTGCCTCCTGTTTTTCACCTTGTAATATAACTGTGCAAGAGCAACCCTTGAACCTGGTTGCTCTCTATGTAATTAGCAAACAAATGTAAGCTAAGCACCATCTTATTTTTTCCTTAGTAGATATTTAAAAACAAAGGCAGGCGTAGCATAAAGGATTCTTCTGTCTTTTGGCAGTAGAGTGGGAAGAAGAATATATGTGACAGTCAAGGCCAAAAACGCTAATGATTCTTCTTTAATGCCAGTTAGTAGCAGTAAGGTGAACCTTTTCCTAAGTCTTGATCAAGTTTCTATCTGAAAATAAGCCTGCAGTTTAGTAGATAAGTAATAGAATCTATCAACAGTTTTGTATACATCAAAGTTATAGCTTAACACACATCAACACCCAGATCGTGGGTTGTTCAGAGCTGAAGGAACGTTGGTTGTCCACAAAACACAGAAAATGATTGCAAAACTTTATTCCAAGTATGTGATAGTTTGTTGAAAGTAGGAAAACAAAATAATGTAGCAATTTGTTTTCCAAGGCTTTCAGAAAGTTTTACAGCTCTTAAAACCTGCTGAGTCATTAAGCCTCCAGATTTCTCCTTTTAGTTCTCTTATTTTCCTTTCCTTACCCCACTCAATGCATGATGCAAATAGAGATAGCACCAAATAAAAATATTTCCAAGTTCTTTCACGTTAGATAATTTATATACATCTACAAGGCCATGCCCTCTTATCCTCTTGCATAGGATATGATGAATATCTACAAATGTCTAATCTAATCTCTAAAAGAAGTATGTGTTAACAGTTTTCATGTTCCTGGGAATCATTTTTCATCATAAGAATCTATCAGTAAATTAGTGGGGTTTTTTGCTTCTCTTCTTAATTTTAAGAGAACAGAAGGAATAATTGCCTGGACCACTACAGGCAATTATGTAGGTTCTAACCTACAGAGAACAAAACAAACAATTTGATTCCACTCCCCTCAAAAAGAACTGGTCAGAAATAATAATAGCAATTTTGGAACAACTTAAAACTTGTTTGAGCCTTCAGAAATTCTTTAGTCTGTGGCCAACGACTTCCTCTTAGGCAAAATGACTCCTCATGCTTCCAGGTGAAAAAGGTTCACAGCACTTTTGCAGCCAGCACACTTCCAAAAACTCTGCAAATTCACCTACTATGAATTTAGTATGTAAAGTTCTGAAACAGGAGAGAGTTTCTAAACTGCTTCTTTAACCCACTTGGAAGACTTTTTTTTGAGACAGCGCCTCAGAGCCCTGGGTAGAGTGCCATGGCATCATAGCTCACAACAACCTCAAACTCTTGGGCTTAAGTGACCCTCTTGCTTCAGCCTCCCAAGTAGCTGGGACTACAGGTGCCCACAACAATGCCGGCTAGTTTTTCTATTTTCAGACGAGATGGGGTCTTGCTCTTGCTCAGGCTGGTATTTGAACTCCTGAGCTCAGGAGATCCACCTGCCTCAGCCTCCCAGAGTGCTAGGATTAGACCCACCATGCCTTATTTTTTTTTTTTTCTTTTTAATGCTTCATTTCCTATATGTTTGGTTGATCTCTATAAGTGTTTATACCTTACCACGGTTATAATATAGACATTATCAACAGCTTAGATTTAAAACAATTAAAAAGGATGTTTAATTAAATGTCTACACCAAAGCAAATAATTGGTCCTTAGTAATATGTCTGGGTTGAGGCAAACACACTCTTAACAGTGGCCAATAGTTTGGTTGAAATGTGTTGCTCAACATTTTACCATGCCAGTCCTCAGCCACTTTGCCCTATTAAAAATTCTGTGTCTATCTAGTTTAAATGTACAAAGAGCAGGAGCAAGCTTGTGAAAAATACAGGAAAAAAAAATAAGAAAATTACATGGACTTTCACATCTGCCCCCAAATACTTTAAATTCAGGGCAAGGGGATACAGATGATTTCTGCAGAAATGTATGGGTTGAGTTAAAAAACTTCAGGTGTTCTTTCTGTGCTACAATTGTGTGAAAAGAGCTTTGGCTGGGCACAGTGGCTCATGAATTCTAGCACTTCAGGAGGCTGACAGTGGAGGATTGCTTGAGACCAGGGGTTTCAGACTAGTCTAAGAAACATAGCTAGAGACTCTGTTTCTATAAAAAACAAATAAAAATGAGCTGGGTGTGGTGGCATTCCTGTAGGTATGCTGAGGTAGGAGGATCACTTAAGCCCAGAAGTTAGAGGTTTAAGTGAGCTATGATTACACTACTGTACTTCAGCCTGGGTGACAAAGTAAAACTCTTCTATGAAAAAAAAAACAAATTAAAAGAAAAAATTGCATTAACTACCTTTAGCTTATTTATTGTTTATATCTTCTTTTTTTTTTGAGACAGAGCCTCAAGCTGTCCCTCTGGGTAGAGTGCTGTGGCATCACAGTTCACAGCAACCTCCATCTCCTGGACTTAAGCCAGTCTCCTGCCTCTGCCTCCCAAGTAGCTGGGACCACAGGTGCCCGCCACAATGCCTGGCTATTTTTTGGTTGCAGCCATCATTGTTGTTTGGTGGGCCTAGGCTGGATTCGAACCCGCCACCTTAAGTGTATGTGGCTGGCGCCTTAGCCACTTGAGCCACAGGCAGCAAGCCTATATCCTCTTTTATGTTCCATTTCATAAATAATCCATTGTGTTATTCCTGGTGACTGCTTTATTACAAATCAAACCATTACAGCAAACAGAGGGTTAGCTAGACCTGAAAATCATTTTGTTCCCCTTGTAATTCCTTTTTTTTTCTTTTACTTTTCTTCTTCCAGCTGCTTTGGTTCCAGACAACCCCTTATAATTTTTTTTTTTTTTTTTTTTTGAGACAGTCTCACTTTGTTGCCTTTGGTAGAGTGCCATGGCATCACAGCTCACAGCAAACTCAAACTCTTGGGCCTAAGCTTTCTCTCTCCTCAGCTTCCCAAGTAGCTGGGACTACAGGCGCCTGCCATAACCTCTGGCTATTTTTATTGAGGAGGTCTCACTCTGGCTCCAGCTGGTCTTGAACTCATGAGCTCAGGTATTTCACTGGTCTTGGCCTCCCAGAGTGCTAGGATTACAGCTGTGAGCCACCATGCCTGACCTTTTTTTTTTTTTTACTAACCTCAAACTCTTGGGATCAAGTGATCCTCTTGTCCCAATCTCCTAAGTAGCTGGGACTACAGGTGCCCACCACAATACCTAGCTACTTTTTCTATTTTTAATAGAGATGAGGTCTATGTCTTGCTCAGGCTGGTCTTGAACTCCTGAGCTGAAATGATCCACTCACCTTGGGTTCCCAGAGTGCTACAAGTGTGAGCCACTGTGCCTGGCTACATAATTCCTTATAATTCTTACTTCTAAATAATGATATATTCAGTTTTTCTAGCTGTATGTTATAATTAAAATATTAGATTCACCTGAATATATTTAGGCTTACAAAAACTTTATCCATAAAATAATTACATTTATGTAAGAAGGCTAATTGTACCTTGAAATAACTTAGCTTATACTTTTTTTCCTTTTTACTAGAGATGGAGTCTGATTATGTGGCTATATTGCCCAGGCAGGACTTGAACTCCTAATCTCAAGGGATCCTCCAGCTTCTACCTCCTGAGTAGTTAAGACTATTTGTATATCCCATTGCCCTAGCCAGATTAGGCTTTCTGAGTTTGCTACATAAAAAGGTAATTAATTTACCTATGTAGATCCAGTTCCACATAGGGAAAAATGAGTTTTTCTTTTATCAATTCCCAGATGATCCGTGTCATTTCATCTCCTTGCATCTCTACCACAGAACCACCACTGATTTTTTTGGACATTTTGGCTTCAATAAACCTAAAAAGAAGAAAAGACAAAATATATGCCTTGTCATTTATTTCATTATATGTATTTTTTTCCTTTCCTTTTTTTGGAGACAGTCTCACTCTGTCACCCTGGGTAGAGTGTTGTGATGTCCTCATAGCTCAACAACCTCCAACTCCTGGGTTTGAGTGAATCCTCTTGCCTCAACCTCCCAAGTAGCTGGGACTACAGGTGCCTGCCACACGCCTGGCTAGTTTTTCTACTTTTTAGTAACTGAGACAGGGTCTTGCTTTTGATCTTGAAGTCCTGGGTTCAAGCAATCCACCTGCCTTAGCCTCCCAGGGTGTCAGGATTATAGGCGTGAGCCACTGCACCTGGCCCATTTATTTCATCATAAAGTGGAAGCCAAATATAACCAATCTGGTTATAATATAATCAATTAAAAGAACAATTCATAATAGCATATAATATATAAAAAGCTAGTTTAACAATAATGTTTAACATTAGAATTGAGCACTTTCCCTGTATCAAGCATTGTGCTGTATGTTTCAGATGTGGTTTCTGAGTCAGTCCTCATAATAATCCTATGAGACAGAATAAATGCCCTTAATAGTGCAATCATCATTCTCAACTATGGGCTTGTCTTACGAAATGAGATTATTTCTACACTATCATGTTAATCTGAATACTTTATTCAACTCCTTATTTTAATAGGCCCTCAAGATGAAAGGAATGATGAGTGCCAGTATCTTCCCTTTTTTAAGAGGCTATTTTCTGCTCGGCACCTGTGGCTCAAGCGGCTAAGGCACCAGCCACATACACCTGAGCTGGCAGGTTCGAATCCAACCCAGGCTGCCAAATAACAATGACGGCTACAACCAGAAAATAGCCGGGTGTTGTGGCAAGCGCCTGTAGTCCCAGCTACTTGGGAGGTGGGATACAGGAGAATTACTCGAGCCCAGGAGTTGGAGGTTGCTGTGAGCTGTGATGCCATGGCACTCTACCCAGGGCAACAACTTGAAGCTCTGTCTCAAAAAAAAGACGCTATTTTCATTAAAATATCGTTGGAGATTTAGTTGGTTCCTGTGATTCATATTCTAGGAAACTTTAAGTCTCAAAGTGAAAGATGAAGAATTCTGATGGAACTGTGTTTTCCTAGTGATAATGCAGACCTTAGAGATGTGGGGCTAAATACCAAAGTACTTTCTCAATATAGAGGGGCTGCTACCCAGGATCCATGCACATTCCTGCCCTATTCTTTGGTATCCCAACCCCTGGACTGTTTTTCTAGCTGTTCATGGGCAAAGGAAAGTTGCTAGTGGCTGGGCTAAGGAAACAACATTGTTTCTGGAAATGGGATGTGAGAGTAACAAATATCAATCTGACTCCCAGCAAGGAGAAAGGTGGATCGTTTGGGAGAAGCGAAACTATGAGGCTTTAAGGAAGGCCATGTTGCATGCTTGTTCCCAAGAGGCAGAGGTAGCCCTAAACATGCTAGAAGTATCAGTTCCTTCTTAAGATGCCCAGTGGAATCTTTTTTTCCCCAAGCAACAACTACAAATTGCTTTTATGCCTTAAAATTATAGCTCAGAACATAAAAGTCAGGAGAATTGACTGTAAAAAATTATTAGATAAGAGTACAGTCACTCTTGGAAAACTGAGCTATAGTACTTTGGCCTTTAAATTAAAAAAAATGTAATGAATTAGTAGACAGCCTCAGTTTCTAGTGACAAACTAGGATAAATGAGTATTTCCAACCCCTAGACCAGGGGTCCTCTAACTTTTTAAACAGGGGCCAGTTCACTGTCCCTCAGACCGTTGGAGGGCTGGACTATGTGCCCGGGACCATTCGGCTACTAAGCAGGATAGGCAGCAGAGGCAAAAACAGCCAGCGGGCCAGATAAATGTGCTTGGATAAATGTGCATGTGGCCCGAGGGCTGTAGTTTGAGGATGCCTGCCCTAGACCTAGTTTCACTTCCCAAATTTTCAATTCTAGAATCCTGTTTACTAGAGTTTAGGAAGTTCCCTAGATCATTACTGAGGAACTTTCTTGAGCTTATCTAGAATAAAAGAAATAAACACATTGATGTGGATGTCAGTCACTTCTCATCTGTACTTTAAAAAGGCAATGAACTTATCTTAGTCTCATACTACATTTCCATGGCCATGCTCCTATACAGTATCATGAAACAGTAATGTCTTGGATATTTCTCCCTGGCAGCAAACACAGTTAATAGAAGGTCATATTCTGTACTTAAATATCAAGACTTTCCAGGTCTAGTTTTTACAAAAAATTAAATAAATGTCAAGACTGACTGTTTTTTTAGTTTCCTATTCTCTTTTCTGTTAAAGAAAACATTCTCTGCAATAATCTGTCTAAATCTTAAAACATGTATCTGAAACATTTCGAGTTTTCTTCACAGTACTTAGCCAATAAATTTTTACCACCTTTTAATTAAAAAAAGTGAAGCTCTATTTTTACTACAATGTAGGGCATAATTGTATTTCTCCTGAATTTGATCCCATGGGATGAGCTTTTGGCCCCATCTTACCCTTGCCGGTCAGATTTTGTCTCCACCTCAATTTTAACTTTGGATGGACTATTCCAAGCCCAACAATCACCAGGTCACTTAGTCTGAAAGCAGCTGAATCCAATCTCCTGAGGTACTCATGCAATTCCAGAAAATAAACTTAGAATAATATTTCTTTTTAATAAAAAAGAAAAGAGCTGCTTAGCTAATTTAATTTTATTTTCATCAACCCCAAGTTTTTAGCCAGAATGTTCTTTGCTGAGAGGATGAACTATAATAATTTCTGGGCAAAAATAGTATTTTGAAGAGTAGAAACAAGGAGACAGTTGCAATTTATTATTTAAAATATTCATGGCTCATTCCCTTGCAGTGCCTAGGGCTGTCCCCCAAGATTAAGGGCAGTATTGCCATATCAAAGCAAGTAAGGAAGGGGAAAGTTGTCATTCTCACTTTTGCAAGTGAATCAACTTCTAATCCCTCCAAGTCCTCTCAGTCTTGCAGTCTCAACTGAATGCAGTTTATTTTCTAAAACAAAACAGGGAACAGAAAGTCTTAACATTAAAAAAAAAAAATACTTCTATCAGAAGGCCCGGTTACTCCCGTTTAAAGTACAGGGCTGTGTATCCAGGGGTGCAAAGAACAGTTTCAGGTTCACAGGCACCTTCCAAATAAAGGTCAAGGGGACACGAACCATCTCCACGTATGCACAGGCGAGGACGTGTCCCCAGCTGTCCGTTTGGACGTCCTTGAGTGACTCTATGACCAGCAGGCTCTCGGCCTAAGAACGTCCCGCGGCCGGCCGTTGTGCAAGTGAGCTGCAGCCAAAGTGCTGATCCCTTCTTCCAGGTTTCCAGGCCCGCCCCTTTCCTCCCCGGTGCCAGGACCTTTGAACCGCAGGCACTGGGAACCAGCCCGGGTGTCTCTCCACTCTTTCTTCCCCCACTCCGGGTGGCCTCGCGAACCTTCCTCCGACTGGCTGCCAACATCTGCACCTCCCACGCCTCCTGGCGGACCTCGGACGCTCTCAATCCGCCTCCCTTCTAGTCCCCGCCGCCTGAGTTCGCTGTACACGCCCAAGTCTCCAGCTTACGTCCTTCTTTGCATTCAGGTCCCAGCTGCGGCACGTTTTCTTCCTCTCACACACAAGACTTTGTCTTGTACGCGTCCTTGCAGCCTCCCACACCTCCAGTTTTCTCCCTGGGTGCAGACCCGGTCTTCCACTTGTCACTGCATCCAACTTTCCTACCGCCCAATTTCTTCCTCCTATGCCCCAGAGCGGGCCTTCTGTACATCCAGGCAACCAGCACCCCTTTCCTTCTCATATCCTTTTCCCATGGCCAATACCTGGATTTCCCTTCTTTGCACCCGCTGCTAAGTTTCTCTCTCATACCCAAGATCTGCGCTTTCTTCCTTTTCCTCATTCCAGAATTAAAGTCTCCCCCACGCCCGTCGGAGTCCAAGGTTACCTGCCGGGGAAGGAACGCTGGCGAAGCGCAAGGGTCGCCACAGCCACTCTCACGTTAAACTCACACGCGCACAGGCAGGCAGTCCTAATTGGACCCAAGCTCTCTGGGTTCCCGACACCGCCCTTGCAGAAATCCAGAACCAGAGGGCGGGGCAGGATTTCGCCCTTTCGCGGCTTTTGTCTCCTCCCAAGTACCGCCCCCTCAGCCCACCTCCCGAAGCCCAGCCCCCTAGGCGTCACCAATCGTCACGCGCGGTGTTCCCGGAGGTGGGCGGAGCCAGGGCGCGGGGGCAGGAACTGGAACGTGAGGGCGGAGCGGCTTTCAAGCTATCCTGGTGGGGAAGAGGCGGTTAGAGGTGCTGGGATTCTGCCCCAACTCCCGGCAGTGGGGGCGCATTAGCCACGGGCAGGCAATGGTGTGGGACGCATTAGGGCTTCGGTTTCCAGGGCTTTGTAACAACCCAGAGCACCTCAGAGTGCAGTAGAGGCAGACAGAGGTGGCAGCTCCGCGGTCCACTTCCTGGTAAGACTGGAACGTGCCTTTGGCAGAAGTTAGTGCTACAGGCGAGGGTGGTAGCGTTTCGGCGTGGCTATAATGCAAATTGTGGCACAGTAACACAAGTTGCCACGGTAAATAATTCCCGCCGCCACCAATGACTAGGTCTTTAGGGTTTCTGTACCTGTAATTCCAATCACTACTACATAACATAAGTAAACCACGTTCATCTGCGTCCAAAGATAATGGAAGGGACTATTCTCTGGAGTTCAATGAAGCTGGACTAGAAATGTGAAGCCTCAGAAAACAGTGTCTTTGAAAATCCTCTCTCCTCCAGAAATTGATTTTTTGGGTAAATTTTTTACCCTCGAAAACTCGGAAAAAAGGGTATTCTATATTGCGATTTGTAGGATAACAGTATACTTCTAGAGTTCTGTCCAGTATTCAATGCTCCAAAATTTATTTTTTAAAAGTATCTAGCATTAGATCATTACTCTTCAAAGATAAACTGATATTCAGAGCGCTACTCAAGATGCACTATGACCTGTAGAGGGCACTGGTATTTTTACCAAGAGAAAAAGTAGGAACCTGATGATAGAGATTTTGAGGTGGATTAAGGGACATTAGCAACCACTTCCATTTATTCCTGTAGAATTGATTAAAGAGGTGGGAGAGCTTTTGTTTCTATCTCAAATCTCTGGCCCTGAGTTACCTGAGATTATAAATTTTACTCCATATATCAAATCAAATTTTACTGCATATATCCCTTGCCCTCTGCTAAAAGCAAGCATTCACACTCACACATTCCTGAAAGGACATAGGATAGTTAACCAGATATATAAAATATAGCATGATAGGTGAGGAAAATGAGGTAAAAAAAGAATAAATATAGGATATCACAGAGAACCCAGGCAAGTTTAATCACGAGATAACATTACATTGAATCCTAAACACTTGCTAGAGATGGCTGCAAATTTAACTTCAAGCCAATGTGGTAGAAAAGGTAGAACCTATGGGAGTCTCAATATCTAAAACACTGTTTCCTAAGCCAGTAAAGAACTCCTTTCCCACTAAACCCCAATCTTTTTAGTAGATCCCTAGAACTGACATATTAAAATATTACTATATATGTGCATAAAACTATGAGCTTCTTAAGCTTATAGCTCTTAGACAACTATAAAATTAAAGACCAAATGATTAGAAAGAAAACTAGAAAACAGCATATTAACAGTGTCAAGTCAATTAAGTATGACAAATGATGTTTTTCAGAAATGAAAGTACTTCGTAAAATGTGAATATGAAGCTCACTACTTGCATACAGGTTATTTTAAATTTAGCTGGCCTATTCTACTGGATGCATGTAATGATTTCTTTATCCTCCCACTCTTCTCTATTTGGTTACTATTGCATGCCTTGATATTATCTTTCATTTTGCCAATAAAAGAATCGGAATATTTCAGTATTATCTGGTCTCAAATACTATTGTAAACACAAATGAAAACATGGGCCATGACATTTCTATTAGTGTTTGTTTATGAGATAGTCATCCAGATAACAGGGGATTCTCATAAATATTTTAAGGTCGTTGTATTTTCTTTTCATTTTTCTTACCTAAAAACATGAGGTATTCTGGGAGGCCAAGACAGGTGGATTGTTTGAGCTCAGGAGTTTGAGACTAGCCTGAGCAAGAACCAGACCCTGACTCTACAGGGTTGTGGCGTTGTGGTGACTGCCTGTAGTCCCAGCTACTTGGAGGCTGAGGCAAGAGAATCGCTTGAGCCCAGAAGTTTGAGGTTGCTGTAAGCTATAATGCCACACCATGGCACTCTACCAAGAGTGACAAAATGCATCTGTCTCAAAAAAATAAAAAAAATTTAAAAATGAGGTAGAAAGAAGAGCTTGATCATTGATTGTCCATAACGATTATGGGAGAGAGAACAGTGGACTGCTGGATTTGAAGTACAAGTGAGAGGGTAAATGTTAATAAGGAAGGGATAAATATAGAGTCACAAATTTGTTGGCCAATCTAAGGAGTTAAATATAAGATTTGTTAAATTTGAGATAACGGATGGGACAGCAAGATGTAAATGTCCAGGAGGCAGTTAGACCAATATATCTGTAGTTCAGAAAGGAGTGTCTGGGCTGCAGAAAGAAATCTGGGAATATATAGCATGTATTAATAGTAGTTGAAGACATATGGTGGATATCATTTAGGGCTACAAAATAAGAATAAAAGTCTACCTCAGCCAGTACTTTGAGGAACATTTACATCTTTAAGGGCCAGGTAGAGAAAAAAAGAGCCTCCCAAAGACAATGCAAAGGAGAGTCTGGGGGTTAAGAATTAGGAAAGCCGCTATTATACCAGGGACTTTACCTAACAAATGCAAACATTGAACCTAATTCTTTGTACCCTCAGTTAACCTGAAACAATAAAAAAAGTCATGTAAAAAAAGAATGAGCAAAGCTTGATAACATGGAAGCCAATAGACAAAAGAGTTTTCAAATAAGAGGCAACACTACAGAGAGATCAAAAAAGACAGAGCCTGAAGATAATTTTGGCAAGTAGGAGGACTTCTTGAATACACTTTTAGTAGAATGATTCTATGACAAAGATTCCAATAGAAGCCATACTATAGGGAATTGAAGTGTGATGTGAGGTATTGAAAATGAGATAAGAAAGCTTTTCTAGAAGGTTGATTGTGAAGAAAAATGCTTTATAAAGTCTTTGTAAACATAACTTCTGATGAGACGGTGTAATAGTCTATCATTTGTATTACTTTCATGCCATTGAGTTGGATAGAATGAATTTGGCCAGGCATGGTGGCTCACACCTGTAATCCTAGGATTCTGGGAGGCTAAGGCAGGTGGATTGCTTGAGCTTAGGAGCCCACGACCAGCCTGAGCAAGAGTGAGACCTTATCTGTACTAAAAATAGAAAAATAGGCTTGGCGCCTGTGGCTCAAGTGACTAAGGTGCCAGTCACATACACCTAAGGTGGTGGCAGGTTCGAATCCATCCTGGGCCTGCCAAACAACAAAGATGGCTGCAACCAAAAAATAGCCAGGCATTGTGGTGGGCGCCTGTGTTCCCAGCTACTTGGGAGACAGAGGCAGGAGACTCGCTTGAGCCCAGGAGTTGGAGGTTGCTGTGAGCTGTGATGCTACAGCACTCTACACAGGGGGACAGTTTGAAGCTCTGTCTCAAAAAAAAAAAAAAAAAGAAAAACAAGCTTGGCATTGTGGTGGGTGCCTGTAGTCCCAGCTACTTCCAGAGGCTGAGGCAAGAGGGTCACTTGATCTCAGGAGTTTGAGGTTGTTGTGAGCCATGACATCAGGGTACACTAGCCTGGGGCAAGAGAGACTCTGTCCTCATGCCCCCAAAAGAAAAAAGAATGATCTTGATTGCATTACTTTCATGTCATTTGTGTTGGTTTGTGCTGGTTGTTTCATTTTTATTTCTTTATTGTTTAAATGGTTGTGACAAACATCTTTTTTTTTAAACACAGATCTGATCTGGTTCTTTCGGCTAAATTGCTATAAGTAGAATTATTGGATTAAAGAATATAAACATTTTTTTAATGTGCTTGTTATGTCCACCAAATCATTTTCTACGCAGTGTAAGAGAATGCTAATTTCATTATACCTTAGCCAGATCTGAATTTCATTTTTTTTTTTTAAGAGACAGAGTCTCACTTTATCACCCTTGGTATTTTTTTTTTGTTGTTGCAGTTTGGCAGGGGCTGGGTTAACCCACCACCATTGGTATACAGGGCCAGTGTCCTACCCAGTAAACCGTGGGCACTGCCCAGAGTTTCATAATTTTTACAAACATTTTTGCATTCCCTACTAAAGGAGACCAGGCTCCTTAGAGAACTGATTGATTCTAGGTCTAAGATAGGGAAAGTTGAAGGTGAGCCTGCTAGTCAGAAAGTAAGAAAATGCTCTCAACAAATTAGGTACAGTAATTTCTTAATGGATTGGAGAAACCACTAAAAAAGAAAAAAACTACAACAAATTAGGTATAGATGGAATATACCTCAACACAACAAAGACCACATATAATAAGCCCACAGCTAGTATCATACTTAACATGAAAGGCTGAAAGCTTTTCTTCTAAGGTCAGGAACAAGATACCACTTCTATTTAACATAGTACTAGAAATTCTAGCCGGGGAAATTAGGCAAGAGAAAGGAAGAAAAGCCACCCAAATTTGAAAGGAAGAAGTTAAGTTGTCTCAGTTTGGACATGACAAGATCTTATATATAGAAAACGCTAAAGATTTTGCCAAAAAACTTGTAGAATTAGTAAATTCAGTAATGTTTCAGGATGTAAGATCAACATACAAAAATCAGCAGTGTTTCTATA